GACTATGAAAAAGAAAATAAATTATAGGTACACAGATTTCATAATAGAGATTCTAGGTGAAGTATAAACAAGCAATTATAGAGCAACAGAGTTTCATCAGAGAGATGATATCAGATAGCCGAAAATAAACAGTATGCTATCTCAACCATTTTCACATTTACTTAACACAGTAAGATTACAGATACCCTGTATTAGTATATTTTTATGTGTTCTCTGGAATGTTCCTTTAACAAAAACAAATACTATTAAATCAAATAAACTTGGATAAGGCTACATACTACATCTACCTGTCAAATACCATGTCTAGGATGCATTACAGGCTTTAAATAGTTATGCTAGAAAATAAGGCAATCTATCACAGACATGTATTCCTAAAGAATATATTTGAGAAATGCCTATCTGTATATTTTAATAAACCAGTTAAAGACTGTTTATCCTTAAGGATAAAAGTTGAAGCTATTTTTCAACACTGTTCACTAAGAAGTAATGATAATAACCATTTTGTGGCATATAGTACAGTAAAAAAACATATTTCAAATTTAATAACAATAATGTGAACTCCTAAGATCTTCCTATAATTAAAACTTAAAAATGTTCTAGTTTAACAGCAAAAAGAATATGCTGTTTTAACAATAAATTATGAATATTTATTTATATATAAATCAAATTTAAGATATCTTTATCTTTATCCAAGATCAATCTGTTAAAATACATAAAATTATATGCATTTATGTTGTTCTATATGAATACAGGAGAAATATACTTATATAGCTAAAATACTTTAAAAAAATCTGACTCCATAACATTAAAAGACTGTTCAGAACATGTTTATGGAGATATTACACTATGCTTATTACCAGTTCTTCAGACTCTAGAGTTAAGGATAATTATGTCAAGAAAATGTTGTAATACAAAATGGAACACAGAAATATAGTTTACTGGACAGTAACTAAAATTACTTTATTACAACACTTTTAGTAGAATAAAACTGACACACACAACTTGTACATGCAAGAGAAATACAACTTAATGTAAACAGAGAGTGCTCAGCACATTATTTTACTAGAATGTGATCATCTGCCACAAAGTACACAAGCTCATGCACAAGATCAAGACGTTACATACAGCTGAGATCACAATGTCATGCACACAACAACAGCGTGCTAGATAATCGTACCACAAATTGTGCAGATGTTCTCCCCCACCCCATGAGCCACTGCCAGCAGTTGCTATGGAGTTTGGTTACCCATATCCGTGACATGAACGGTGTCCTTTGGAGAATCTTGTTCCCTGTGGCTGTAAGTATTCTTATTTTTATATTTTAATGATGCTTGCTATGAAAATGTTAAGTACAAAACTAGAAATTATGGAAAATACACTTTTTTAATAGTCAACAATAATACATCTCATCTCAGGCACCTGCAATAAACACCATTTATATTTGAATATACCATCCAAAGTAATTTACTGCTCAATCAGATGAACCCAGTATAAGATGTCTGATGACAGTGCTCCAGTGAGTGGGGGGAATAAAAAAAAAAATCAATCTCCAAAAAGTACTCTGATTTCTAACACTCAGAAACCTCTGTACAAGTCATTCCAGTGTTTTGGCTAACATAGGACTCACATGGCTAAGTTCTATAAAAACATCTTTTCTGATAAATATTTTATATGATTTTAATTTTTAAGACTTCACTTAGTAAACACTTTACAATCTGAGCTTATATTATTAACAAAAGTTAGGATACAGTCATTAAAACATTTCCCCTCATTTTTCTGAACACATTAAATGTATTTAGATGACCCCCTTTTATTTTGCCTATTTCTTTCCTAAGTACATTCTGGTTAAGAGAGAATTCTACTTTGCTGTAGGCAATGTGTGCTAAGTACTGATATTTACAAAAGCACAGACTCAGAATCTGGAACCACAGAATCTTTGAATGGCTCAGTTCTATGTCTCTCGGAAAAACTTATGGCCCTTTTAGAATGGTGAATTCATTCAGGCACAGTCTACAATACTTTTAAAACATCTCGGTGAGTGAAGAAAAAGAAAATACAGCCAACTCTCAATAACAATGGAAGGTAGGATGGAAAAGTAAACTGACGTTCTAAAAATCTTTTGATTAAAAATTTAAAAACTTCTTGTCATATTAAAAAAAGGACTTTGAGTATTATCTCCCCCTGCCTTATTTTAGGAGTTAGTAACAAGAAATCTATTTTTAATATATATAGCTGAAAATGTACACATATTTTCATGTCAAACTTTTCCAATTTAACATTTAAACTATCTAGCCCATATACTAATATATGAGAACATATGCATTTTTCCTTCTTTTCATAAAAAGAATGACTATAATTTGCTTTTAAAAATTGGAACGCATTTAGCAAGGAACAATTATTTACTATAATCAGTATCAGTAATGATATACTAATTTTTGATTTATAATCTGAAATGGTGCTTATCAAGTTGTATTTTGCTTATAATGTAACATTTGTTTAACTCATATGAATTAAAGATGATAGTTTGACTCAGCATCAGTATAATTTATAATAGAAGACAGTAACATTTAATAAATTCAGTATATTAAGATTAGGGTTTACAAAGCTGTCTCTCCTGATTCTTACACATTCTAAAGCAAAACCCTATACTCTTGTGCCTCAGTTCTCCAACAGACATCACTTAATTGCCAAAAAGACTAGTGCAAAACGTTTTTTATTAGAAAGCTCATCATATGAAGTGTTTTAATCAGCAAATAATGCCTAATTGTAACTAAACATAACGATGTCTCTGAAGTCACTCCAGTCTCTGAATACATACTACAGCAGGATCTCTTGTCGAGAGCGGTTGTGCCACAGTGCAAGATCTGAAAGGTGAATGCTAATGCTACCTGTCTACAAGGAAGATACCTGGGACTTGACTAAGAATAAAGTCAAAGCAATTATATTGTATAATAAATACAAGAAAATTATAATAAAGGGTTAAGACATGAAAATTTCTATACTTGCTAACCTTCCTAAAGAATGGTCATCAGTCTACAGACTGGTATTATAATGGCTTCAAAGGTGTAGTTTGAACTTTAGCTTTCAATAAATGATTCCATTTTCATTAAGAATAGTTTTTGCTGGACATGGAGGCATACTATCTGTAATCCCAGCATTCAGGAAGCTGAGGCAGGCAAACCAGGATTTAAGGGCAGTCTGGGCTACATAGAGAAGCAAACACAAGCCAGCCTGCGCTATATGGGGCCATGTCTCAAAAACTCTAAACCAATAACAATACCACCAACAGAAGCATTAGAATTTTGCCTACTTCTTGAAAACAATGGTGAAAGAAAAGAAAGAAAATGAGTATCAAAATTTCAACACTATAGCAGGCTGTACAGTATGTAATTCGTTATGTCTGTAAGGATAAGTCTAAAGGATAAAGCATGTGTTTAACAGTGACATTCAGTTTTTACATATGTACAAGAAAAAATTAAGAAACCATATGTTATAAGTGAAAATTTATTTAAAAATGCAGTGTCACTAATTATTATACTATATTTCTAAAAGCATTTTACATTTATGCATAAAATTTTATATTGGATGAACATTTCCTTAATTATAACAAACAATATAATTTTAGAAAATATTTGGTTCCATAATTTCAAAAACTCAATATAATTAAAACAAATGAAAATCATTTACAAATTATTAAACTAAAATAATTGCAGCTAAGTTTTTCTACAGCAAACAAAGCACCCAGAAGGACTCAGAGTGCCACATCATGTCCATCTAGATCTGAATAAGTCCACTAGATACAGAGACACTTCTGAAAATAGGATTTTTTTCAAGATACATTAAAACAAAAATATGTAAAGGTCAGTGAAAGAATTTTCTTCAGAGTTCAATCATTCTTATATTATAAAAGAATTAAATATCAACTTTATAACAGAATTAAGAAGTGAATATTTTAGGTCTGTGTGTGTGTTTTCAGTTTTAATTTTTTTTTGGTCTTTTTGAAACAGGGTTTCCCTATAGCCCCAGCTGTCCTGGAACCACTATGTAGACCAGGCTGGCCTTGAACTCACAGAGATTCGCCTGGCTCTGCCTCCCGAGTGCTGGGATTAAAGGCATGCGCCACCATGCCTGGCTCAGTTTTAATTTTTAAAATTATTATTGTGTGTATGTGTATGCGCCATGGCACATATGTGGAGGATACATATGTTACAGGGCAGCCTTATAGAATCAGTTCTTGCCTTGTACCTTTATGTGGGTTCTGGGGATCGAACTCACATTGCCAGACTTGCATCTTTACCTGCTAAGATGTCTAACCACTATGTAGACCAGGCTGGCCTTGAACTCACAGAGATTCGCCTGGCTCTGCCTCCCGAGTGCTGGGATTAAAGGCATGCGCCACCATGCCTGGCTCAGTTTTAATTTTTAAAATTATTATTGTGTGTATGTGTATGCGCCATGGCACATATGTGGAGGATACATATGTTACAGGGCAGCCTTATAGAATCAGTTCTTGCCTTGTACCTTTATGTGGGTTCTGGGGATCGAACTCACATTGCCAGACTTGCATCTTTACCTGCTAAGTTGTCTTTTTAACCTAAAGTCATCTCTGACATGGAACATTTTTATGTAGGAAACTAGAATAACATTCTCTATGATTAGATGTGATAAATGTATTATCATTACTAAATAGAAAGGATCAACATGAAGAAAATGCTGCAGATAAAATGTGATGAACATATTCTGTGTTTTCATTGACAAAATGCTACACTTTCCACTAATATGCATGTCAGACCAGTAGAATACTGTATGTCTCAAGAATGCTGCCAAACAAAGTTAGCAGGTAGACAGTTTTTATGCCATGTAACGAGAAACTTGATTTTTCAGTGATTAAGAAGGCATGTTCAGTAATTTTCAATTTCACCTACAAATTTATAATATTAGAAAGTTGCAGCAAGATAGTACAAGTTCATCTGAAACAAAAAATTATGTTCTCCACTTACCTCATCTGGGTTGGCATTAAAGGTGAGGCTTCCTTCATCCAGCTGCATATACAATTTTCTAAAGGAAAATCCTAGGGGTGGGTTCTTATTGTATATAGAACAGTGACCCCAAGTGGATTTACACAACCTGAAAAATAAGAGAAAATAAGATCAAAAGTTACTGTATTTTCTAAGATAAGCAAACATTAATATCATAGTTATAAAATTAAATGATACAGAATTAGACTCCACGTTTCTAAATTTTAAATTTTTAAACTTTACATTTTGTTTACTAGAATATGACAGGTGCCATAAACTTAATAATTATGATAGCACCGAAGAATTGCAGTTACAAGGATTAATCATATTCTTGAATGATTATCTGATTGCACAAGCAATAGATCAATGACTTATGACTTAGTGATTAGTAAAAGTGGGGCACTAGTCTAAAGTTTTAATTGTATTAACTTAGTTAATCCTCAAAAATTTCTGATGTTGGTGTAACATATAACACACATAGACAAGAAAATTCCCCGAAGTCACACAGCTAATATGAATAGAGGTAACATTTGAATACGTCTTATTTCAGAGCTTTTAATTTTAAGAAGCCAAAAAGAATCTATTAAATAACCAATGAACTACTGTGAAATAACCCTAAATAAAGGGACAAATCTCTTACTTTCTCAAGAAACCATATGTCAACAACAAATTAAAACAGAAAGTATAACCTCACAACTACATATATCACATGCTATAATACTGAGCATGTTTAACACACTGATTCCAAAACATGGATTCTTTACAAAATAACTGTATCTCAGAAAACAGTATTTTATACAGATTAGGAGACTGCTATACAAATCTGAACATGGATAATAGCTATTATTTGAAAGTGAAAGTATTTTTTCTTTTAAATCAGAATAATGCCTCCAAATTCTATAATACATCAAAGAGCCTTAAGTAATACTCAAGAGACAAAGAAAACACTGAAGCAATATTTCTATATTTTTAACCCTAATGAAAAATATCCAATAAGCTTAGATATGAAATTTGTTTAGTTCAAATATAGAATCATCTGGGTGTGGTAATATGCACCTGTAATCCTACCACTGGGGAGGTTGAGGCAGAGGATCAGGTGTTTGAGGCCAGTCTGGACTATCAAGTCCTTAAACAAACTACAAAACAAAATGAAGTTCAAATGTAGGAATACAAATTAAGTTTATGGAAAATACTAAAATGTAGAAAAAACTACAAATAAACTAATTTTAAAGCATTCTAATCTTTCATCAAACATTTCATAAATTCATAAAAATGTCTTTATTTTGAATAACACTAAAAGAATTTCCTTCAACATAATATGACAAGGCAGCGGAAGATAGGACTAACTTTTACACTAGAATTCTGTGACATTAGGAAGCTTAAGTTAGAAGTGCCACTATTGGAAATGTATTTTTAATATAATTTAGTGATTTAATTTATTAAATCTGCTTATTAGATTTCTAGTTCTAGATATGTTATTATGAAAGCTACTTTAAAACTTTAAAACTCATAAACTTTGGAAAAGAATGATAGAAAAATCTAAAATACAATGATTCTTCTGTTTGGCAAGATTTTCAAGACAAAAAAATGTTTCTATGACGTTTTTCTAAGTATGTGATACTATTTTGGAATATCTGAGGTTAATAAAACATTCAAATAATAATACTAATTTAATACTAA